GTTTCAGAACTGAGAAACGTTATTTCCGGCCAATATCTTAGATAAATTATGCACGAAAATGTATAGTACATAAAAAGTGAATAAACGAGAAAATCATCAATAATGAATGAGTTTTGCAAGTTAATAATGTACGGAAAGCACAGATACACAACGATGGAAATAATTTTATTTCAATTGATCACTGTAAGTCTTTAATAAAACATTTGTTTCTGTTTCGTAAAATTAATTAAATATTTAAATATTTTAAATAGGAATTTAATTAACATACAAATAAATTATTATTTTATGTTAAATTTGTAATCCAGAGGAAATCTTTTATAAATATTTTTATTGTCAATTTTAAATATTATTCCACTCGCCTCTTGAAATAATTAATATTTAAATATATTTTTCATCATTACATTAATCCCATCAGTGTGTACGATCGGTTAATATATACAGGATATATCCTACAATCGTTCCGAACGTTCAATCGAAGCGCGGTCGGATCTAACTCTTACTTTACTACTTGACGTCGCTCATCGTGAAACGCTTCTCGCACGAGATCGAAGATTCCTAGATAATTTCCCGTCACGCGATCGTCAAGTGGCCACTCACTCGGGCGCGACGGCGTGCGATCTAATTTCTGGCTTAATCTCGAAGGCGGGTGCAGTCCAGTGATGGAAAACGACGCGAACGGTCATACGCGCAATCAGGATACGGGAAACAGAGAGAGAGAGAGAGAGAGATAGAGAAGAGAAGGGGTAGTTTAGATATCGGTTCTATAGCGACGTATTATAGCACCGCGATTGCCGCCAGTAACCTCAGCCTAAATGAATGGCTCTGCCGAGGGCCTTTGCTGATTATGATGTCGCCATTGATCCAGATCGAAATTGGCTTGCCTCTGTCATGGAACGCACCCAGAGGGTCATTAATATCCTCCGCGGGCCAAGAGCGAACCGGGCGGGATGCTCGTATCGATGAGAAGAGGAACAGGCCAGTTAATCGCAAATATAGCTACAGATCGAGGTGTGAAACCTCCCTCTCGTGGCTCTTGAGATATACATCAGCTCGTCGAGTTAAATAATTAATTAATAATAATCGGCTTCCCCGATAGTTTCTTGCATCCACCGAGATTATCTTTAAATTTTTAATCATAATTGATTTAAGCTGCAAAATAAACGTATCCAGAAACATAAATGTTTTAACGGAAGAAATATTATGAGAATAATATTTTAGGAAAGTAAATATAAGGGAAATATTTGTGGGAAAGTAAATACGGGAAATTTTTTTAAATTTGTGTTACATTATTATATAATCGCATATTAATCTTTTAATTGTTTTTTTTTCTTAAGACTTAAAAACATTTTTAGGAAATGCTTCTTTAATAATAAAGAAAATATGTTATTTCTAGTAAAATATATAATTATACCAAATGTATTTTCAAACGCATATTCAAATTTTAATCGATAGCAATTTCAATTCAATCACGGAGGAGAGATAGATCATTCTTGATTCATTCCGACCCTTATATTTATAGTGAAATGTCAAATGAAAATTATTTATGGGAGACCGAATTTCTGACAGTAATCGATTCTTCGGCGTTAAGCAGTCGACTAACGATAAAAAGAGCTGTCCGATTTATATAAATCCATGATTAGGAGAATGTCGGTCCTCTATTTGTCTACCTATCGGCACGATTAATAAATTGTCAGGATTAAAAAGAGCTCACAGGCAGTAACGAACGTAGCGCTCTCGGAGATTGAATTCGGCATAAATCGATGAAACTGAAGCATAATTCTTGCTCGCTCCCGATTGCGTCTCGAACGCGTCCGTTCACATTTTCACTTTATCTGTCTGCCGTCTGATTAATGAAGATTAAAACAAATTATAAAAAAATAAGGATGAATGCTCCGTATTCGATAGCAAGCATAAAATTATATCAAAGTATAAAATTTATGGATCAACTGCAGCGTGTCACACGCGATGCAAGTAACAGATTATAAATATCGGATTGGATACTAATGCTGTTTTATTTTTTTCCATACAATTTTCCGATATATATAAATTATGCAGCATTGGAAATATGCCAATAATAGCAATGGATTAATTTAGATCATTATTAAGGGCATTTGTTGCAAACTTTTACCTCGACTATTATTTTTTTTCAGTCCGATGAATAAACTTATTTGTGGGACAAATATCTTTTAATTTTATTTTTAGTCAATATAATAAAGAGAAAAATCTAATTTTTTCGCATCAAAGCAGATTCAAAGCAGAAAATTGCATATAATTATTCTAGGGATCAGATTATCTGCTATTAATAATAATACATAAATGTTTACCTTTTTTATAATAAAAACACACTATGCTAATATTAAAGTAGAATATATGCTGTAGTAGAATATGCGTTCTAATTAACTTTCTGTTATTTTAATACAATTTATAAAATTCAATAACCGATGACCAATTTGCAGAACTTCAAAATTACATAATTGTATATATGAAACTAAATGAAATTTTATAAATGTATTATATAGGTATTTATTATAAATTTATCTAAATTTTTTTCGTGATTACGATTGAGGTGCAAGATGAAAAAAATAATTGCTAATATATAATAATAAAATATATGTAATGTGTTGTCGGATCTACAATTAACATTATAATGCGTTATTTCAACTATTGATTTTTAGTATCAACTAAATTGAAAACGTGGAATTTGATAACACACTGAAAGCATGATCTTTTCGACTCCAACAGACCAACAGAATTACATGGAAGATGACATGTCTTCCACGTGAAGAATTACGTGGGAAATGAAGATGATATTGTTTTTGACAGTTGGTTTCTTTTTCACTCTCGACGTTACAGCACGGTTTCGGGCAGTCTTTATCAGTTAATTGCAGATTTCAAAGATTGAAAAAAATTGACCGCCGAATTGGATTAAAAACTGACAATGAGTAGTTTCCGGAGATCAAAGAAATTCATTTTCTGCCGTCGAATAAAAATACCGCAACGACAAAGTTTACATCGGCAGAGTAGGATTGGCATATATATAATTGCTACATGTACATATAGAATAGTTTCTGTCAGATTCACGTCGTTTTTTTAAATTATATATCATTCAATAAATCATCAATATCGATTTTCCGAAAATCAAAAAGAAGGAAGCTATTACGTTTTACTTTACAATCTCTTTTGATAAAATTAAACTTAGAATTAAATTTAACAATTAAAAAATCATAGAAATTAATTACGCACACACATATACATGAATTTTAGATGAAATATTTCCTAAAAATCGAGCTCGATATATATTTTTTTGGGACATTTCGTAGACGCAGCGATGAAGATTTGAGGTGGATAGATGGTCCTCCCTTTTTCTGTCTTTGTCGATTGCCAATATCTCGACAAGATGGCAAGAGACGGCGGGATCGAACAGGCGGGATTCCTGGTTCCGATAAGAGTTAGTGCTCACTTGTTGACCCGTTTCAATGATCGTAACTTATCGAGATACAAGACCGGCGATTGAGAGCAACGACGTGAGGCCAGATGCTGAGAGTTTCGGATTTATCGAGAGGTCTTATATATATATATATATATATATATATATATATATATATATATATATATATATATATATATAATATATATATATATAAAACGTCGCACGCGTGTGATCGCACGAAGCTTTTTACGGCAAAGTGTGCGATCGATCGTGCCGTGTTGACGGTCTGGCGATTTCAAAAGAATCAGCTGATCGACTTGACAATTCTCGATTCGTTAAGAATTCATGCTCAATCGAACGTGTTCTCGTGTTTCATCGACAATTGTCGATAGCAAATTGAGGATACGCGAGTTAATTGACTGTTAATGATACCCTATTCGTCCACAATTATCACGACAAATCGGGAGAGCCTACGACCGACTGACCGGACCGTTTGGCGGTTTTCGACGGCGATCCACGCAAAGCCATTAGTTAGCCTCTGATCAGCCACTCCAAGTGGCATTACGAGCGAGTAAATTTTCTGTTTTATCGTGTGCATGCAAATCATCGTAGGAAGGCATTTCGACACACCGTTTGGCACGATCTGATTGGATTGGCGCGTAGTCGACTAGAATTACAGACGCGGGATATACCGATCAATGGTGATTCGTTACAATGGATAGATACAGATGAAACTGATAATGAATTGGAATTGTTTACGTACTGCATAGCCGTTTTAGCAACAACGCGAATATTCCCCACTGGCGCGCGTAGTGACTCTGTTTGTATATATAATATGTTTCGATAATTGGCGGCTTTTGCATGCTGCTCTGATTGGGGATACGTTTCTACATTAATGACGGGTCTCTTCGTTATCGATGAAATTGCTTCGCTGTAGATGAGATATGCCATATGCCGCGGCGACCGTCTTTGTCTCAAGTTGGATTGCTTCCTGCTCGTATCTAATTGCCAAGCAGTTGGATCACCTTTAGAGCAGTCACGAGCATAAACTCGCTGTACCGAATAGTTTCGGTTTCTGCTTAGAAACTTGTGTACATCAAACCGTCGTTGTTGACTTTCTTAACATTGCCATAATCACACACGTATATATGCGCGCGCGAAGAATCAAAGTCTATGTAGATCAAACGATTTTTCCAATGATATTCCATGAAAAAGTCTATTCTGATTTGTCAATGAAATTAGAAGGGAGAATCATTTTAGTTTTATTTTTATTCTATTGTCCCAGTGTGATAAATTAATATTTAAGCGATACTCATTTTATTAAAATTTAAATTGATTTTCGACAAAATGGCTTTTTTTAATTTGTTTTACGAACGTAGATAATGTAAGAATATCAATAACAATATCATAGATAATATAAATCAACTTAAAAAATGTCTGAATAAATATAAATGTTATAATAGGTGCAGGTGTACTAATAGGTACACTTTCGGTAGAAAAGTGAAATGAAAGTAGTTGACCGACGAAGAGAAAGGTTGGAAAAGTTTAATGAATGCCATGTTGGGTTTACCTGTGCACCAACGAGGCCAGCGCGTAATCTAGGGATGTCCGTGTGACTCCAGTCTGATCTGGCCCAAGGGTCGACCCTGCCGAGGTCGCTGCTCAGGTTGACCTCGCCAAGTTGATTGTGTACGAACTTTCTGACGTTCCAGGGCAAATCGTTGTGCCTGCAAAATTCAGATGCGAGTTATATAAAGCAGTATTACAGTATTTTACGAGCGAAATTTTTTATTAACTTTTGAATTTATGTTACGTATTTCAAATTATGATTTTTTATTCAAATATCGTGGTTATAAAATATTATATATGCTAATATATTATTATATTAGTGTATAATCTGAATAGTTCGCGAAATATATTATATATATGCAGTATATATTATTGCTTTATATATGTATGTATATCTATTTGAACATAATTTGCAAATTGTAATGTATTGGTATGTGTAACTGAAGACGAGCAAACATTAAATCGAAACTAATCAATTTTACATCTAAAGAAAGAAAGAGAAAATTATCATTACGCTATATATACAAGATTTTGGAACAATGAACAATTCTAAAAAATGACATGTGTTTTGGAAAATTCTACGAAACTATATAATTAGGAAATTTAAAATAATTTATATCTTTTCGATATATTTATTTATATAGATCAAAATTTGTTTCCTTTTACCATTAATGCAAATTTCTATCGTCAATCGAAAAACAAAAGCTCACCCGTCGATCAGAGGCACTTCAGTGAGGATCCTCCTGATCACGTCCAGCCTCTGCTGGTGCGTGGCAGGCGCGGATTGAAGTAGAAACGGCAGACAGAGGCCTCCGAGGAGCAGGACGGCCACTAAGAACAGGACAGGCGCCAACAGCCGACATCTCCTACGAGGACTCTCGTCTCTGCGGTCCTTGCTGCTGCCGCTGCTGGGCGAATCCTCGCACGGCGGCGGCAGCCGCACGGTGCCGTTGCATGGCGCCACATCTGGCAGTTCTGTTAGGCACGTGGTCTGAAAAAAGAATCCATATCGTAAATGAATCAAAATTTGTTCTTTATTTTTTATCGGTTTCGATCAAAATTATTAATCTCGTCGAGATCATTGTTATAATTCAATAATCGACAAATTAGAAATTGAATATCTTAATAACAATATGATAAATATACTAAGACATATCCGTGTTTTAATTTGTGCTAGCAAATTGTTTTAAAAAATTGCTCAAATTTATATACGTTTAGTTTTTCTTTATATCTAGGAATTTAATTGTTAGCATATAGCTTCGATACCGAAATTTTTTATTTCACTGCTTTAATAATTTAATAATTGTTATTATCTTTTCGTATAGTATAATTATTTTAAAATTAAACTTTATTTTAGCTTTAATTAGTACAGTTACGTTATTTGATTCTTTTTATTTTCTCGTAGACTTACGCGCGAATAGTATATATGGAGACCAAATTTGTTCAACAGAGCTCGATTCATGGAGCAAAGAGAGCTTTTGGATCAATTTAGTATATCGTACACACGTTCGAGATATTTGCTTGGTGAATTAATTAATTTGGTTAATAGCTGCCGCAGAGATTACACGCTGCTGTCCAGTGGCCGCGCGTACGCTTATAGAAATAAATAATTACTCAACTGTAATTTCGTACGTTGTAAGCGACGGAAAATTAATCTTTTTTCTGAACAACACTAAAATTGAACACACACTATTACAATAAAATTAAAAAAACTACTACAATAGAACAGAGCAATCGAATATATTGTAAAACATTTTGATTAAATATACATATAAAAAAATATATCAATTGCAGAAGCAAATAACTTTATAGTTATAAAAACTTCATTTTTTTTTGTATCACAGTAACAAATTGATATCTTGTAATATGTCAAAGACATATTATTTTTTCACAAAGTTAATTAATACGCGAATCTATATTTGAATTTATATTTTTAAAAATATATTTGATGTGGAAAATTTTTTACATTATATTTTCATTCGTTTCTTTCACATTTTTTTGCGGCAAATCGTTTCTTGTAGATTTTCTTGCTTTGACATGTGCAACGTTGTTCTAGGCCACATTTCAAATGTTGCTAATATGAGTTTTGTAATTAACAGGGACGTAAATCTTCTTGTTTCGTACACATATATAAGACTTTTCGATGCAGGTGAACACATTCGGGTGCAGTTAGACAATCGTGTGTGTTAACGACTATTTAAGCGTCTCTTAGAAAGTGCATTACGCTAGTAGTGCATGTAGCGGAAACGAACGGTATGGTGGCTGCAACCTGTCCGCGGAAAATTACAGCCAACGCGGATGGAAGTGCAACCACCCTTCCTCACAGAAGGAGGGTTGAAAGGAACGAGAGCTCCTTCGCGACGTCATTGCGACGCTCTGCAGGCAACTCGGCAAACTTTTGTTCGCCCTCCTTTCGACCACCATAAAACACGTTAACGCCCGTGTACGTAAGATTTGCCGCGTGTATATATAGAGAAGTAGTAGTTGCGCGACCGAAAGACACAGGGGTACTTGGCAAGCCTTTGGGAATTTTCTTAGTTTCTACAGTTGTCATAAACAACTCACCAAGTCACAACTCTCGTGTGTATCCCTTCGTGATACTCATCAGATTTCGTGCGGTTTCACGATACAGTAAATCAAATAAAATCACAATTCTCTTCGATATGATAGATGTTATACACAATAAGAGAAACAATACAAAGTTTTTTCAACTTTGCAATTACTCTAGTAAAATGTAATTTTTCAACATTTTTCTCGTATATAATTACTACTTTAATTAATCATTTAAAGAAACCATAAAAATTGTAAACTGTTGTATTAATTACTACTTTAATTACTCGTTTAAAGAAACCATAAAAATTGTAAACTGTAAAACATTTAACGTAATACAAGATAAAAGCAAACAATTATAATCGAAGGTAGAAAACTAATGTTTCGTTATCATAGGTTAAATTAAAAAAATAACTAAGAAAGCAATTAAGAAATATAACTGCAAAGGTAGTCTCACACACACAGAAAAATTTTGAGAGAAGCATATGTTGCATATATGAATTTACTTTTCCTATAAAACTTACATCATTCTGATATATTTATATTTTTTTTCTGCGCATGACGGTGCCGAGTTTCGCATATTTATAGCGCACAATAATGTGGATATGTAAAAAGGATAAGAAGTTTTGAGATACTCGTACGCGGAGGAAGAAACTCGAACGAGAACGACGAGCGCCGGATGAAACCGGATGAGGCGAATTCTACGGCGAGCTAAACCGCGAAAGTTATCGTCGGCATTACTGACAATTCGCAAAAGAAACGGCAGTATGCATTATCGTCGAAGCGCGAAACGGTAAAAAAAAAACACGCGATTCCCGTTTCTAGCCGTTTCTCCGTTTTCTTGTTCGCGACTCCGCTCGGTGAGAATCGATTGTCGATACTGCGGGTAATTAATAGTTGCCTGGAGGTAATGAAACTGAAAGCCACGGGCTTGCTTCGTTTTCGCGCATATAACTGACAAAAAGAGGAGTTATTCTCGCGACAATACCTATTCATAATTTATTGTTAAAATCAAGATTGGCGAATTTTATAATACAATGGTGATTACGCATATGCTCTTTTTAAATTTTATTTTTCTCTTTCAATATATATATATATATAAATTTTTTTTTTTGAACGTATGCGATTTTTATTTGGTTCATTAAATATAAAATATGAAATTGAACTTAATTTGCAACATTAGTGATAAAAAGACAATTTATTTTAAAAATTTTGTTTAATAAATTACATAATAAAGAGAGTAATTTCGAACTCTTGATTTTCCTCGTGCAAGCAATTGCCGACAAATTAATTTGTACTTTGCCACGCTCTGGCAACGTTAAGATAATTATTGTCGCTCGTGATAGTAATAATGGGCGACTGCCTTTTAGCACTGCTCCTCTGGAATTTAACGAAAAAGCGAATTCGACGTACTTTTATAACCGCGCTAAAAGTTTTTACCGCGAGCATAAACGTATTAATTAAGCGCGTTAATTGAACGCGTTTAAAAATGAAACGATACGTAAAATGATTAGAAGAAATATGTATTGTCTTAGAATAAAAATTCTTTTATTAGTGTACAAAATTAAGAAAATAATTTCGAAAAATTTACTTTGCATTATTCTTAAATTCTTAAAGATTTTACAACTTATTTCTCAGAGAGAGTAAAATGTTATTTAATATGTCAATACCAAAGGTTGTCGGCAGGATAAGGGAAGAAAAGTGAGTCTATTATATATTATATATATTTTTAATCTTTTCCGTAGAAAACTCGGGAAATAGCGTTACTTGCTTCTCTTAAAAGATTTTCTTTAATATCTTCATGTCCGGACTTTTGACATTTTCGGCAATATTTTTACGATAATTACATTTTTTAAAATAATTAGATAAAATAATAAAAGTGATAGATAATAGAATAAAAAAACGTGAGATCTCCATATTTGCAATTGAAAAATAAAATGTTGCCAAATATGCACTTGTGTTCCGTTCTGTATTTTTGTACCTCTCTAACATTATAATAGAAATCCTTTCACATCCTACGTGTTCTTACGCGATTAAGTCCCAGTTCGACTTCTCGAGGAGACGCGAAGTGCGAGATTCGTAAGTTGGCTCTTTGGGTACGTGCCGGGAAACCTTGGGGTGAACTTCGTCGCGGGTCTGGTTAATGGCACTAAGAAGCTCGTAAACGTATTAACTGTCGCAAAGGACATTATAGCTTTGATCCATCGATGACGAACGGCTCCCTGCGTCTCGAGTCTTTGAAATAGTATACGATCGGCGTACATGAATAACTCATATTTCAAGAGCTGCTCTTTTATATCAAATTATCATGCGCGAACACGCGCACACACATATCTATATTTATTTATTTTTTACTCTTAATATATGTCTAATAAACGTTTCTAAGTTTAGAACAAGTTTCTTATGAGTTAATAATAGAAAAATATTGTAAAAATGGCGGCATATAATGTTGTGATTCAAATTATGACATGCATTCTTCTGAAATGTGTCGATACAACAATTATATTGAACATGTATTGACACCTGAATAATTCATTTAAATTAGGAAAATATATTTTATTTTTTTTTAATTTTTAATTTTTATTTTCAAAGAAGAAGAGAGATCATAATACTTATAATTTTTTTTTATAATAAAATTAATCGTAATATAAAGAAGTGTGAGAAGTAGATCTCTGACGAAGAAAATTATAATTCAACGTGGAGATGGGGGATACTCTTTTCCACTTCTAACAAGTAAAAATATTTGCGAAAGCTAGATCAAGAACTTGTGCTGTCCGAGAGACCTGGAGTTCTCTCTACAGAATGCATTCTCATTAAATGAGTCTTGCAACGAGGCTTCTCGCCAAACTCTCCTCTAACAGGGTCTTCCTTCCAGCTTCCTTGAACCGCGCTAAATTTTACGTCTCGCTATAACGACGACGGGAGATAAAAGCGGTAGTTTGGGCAGAGACGCTTATCTCGTTGTTCATAATTTCGGAAATCGGACAAGTGGGACGCGCGACTGTGAGAATGATAAGTTTTAAGCTTTAAAGTCCTTTGAAAAGTTTCACCATCGGTAATAGGGCGCCGTTGCGGCGTTGAGGATCAAACTGGGAATATGTAGAGGGAAAGCTTCCAATAAAACGAATATAATTCATAGTCGCGGTCGCGTGTCGATGCCGCGCGCCAAACATCATCCGCGAGCTTTTCCGCTAACAATAAGTTGAAGACGCTCTTTCCACCCCTTTGCACGTGTACGTGTGTGTGTGTGTGGTGTGTGAACGCCGAAGCACGTCGGATAGGCAGGCGAGAAAAGGACTTAAGAGGCGGCGGGTCCGCAGACCGAAAGCATTGTCAAGTTTTCGTATAAATTTCTCCTCGACGTGAATTCAAAGAATATCGCGGGAAGAGAGGGTGAAAGGGGATCAGAGAAGATCGTATAAAGCCGGAAGGGGGTAGTCG